CTCGTGCAAGTAAGCTGCTGCCAGTGCTGTGCTGCTGCCTTGGCTGTGCAACTGGGTTGGTGCTTCAACGCCAGCTTGCTCGCACAAAGTAGCTGGTGCCAGTGCTGCAGTGCTACCTCGCCCACATAAGCGAGCTGCTGCTGGTGTTTAGCGATGCTCTCTCGGTCGTGCAAACAAGCAAGCAGCTGGCCTGCTTGTGCAAGCGATTGGTGCTGCAATGTCTTGCGCGTGCAAGTGCTCTGGTGCTGCAACACCAGCCCGCTTGTGCAAGCGAGCCGTGGGAGCGGATCCAGGCGCAGGCGCACGCGGAGCTCCTGACGGCAGGGAGGGCCCGCGCGTGGCGTGCGGCCCCTCGGGCACGAGGCGGGTCCCCCCAGCGCTCTTCTCGCTGCGCTTGCAGGAACGCCGAGCAGCAGCGGATCCTCTGGAAGATCCCCGACATCTCCCAGAAGTCGGAGAACGGAGGTGAGGGCGGGCGGGCGCGCGGGGCGGCGCGGCGCGCGGTGCGGGCGCTCAGGCGGCGCTGTGTCCCCGCGCAGGCGTGGGCTCGCTGCTGGCGCGCTTCCAGCTGGCGCAGGGCCCCAGCTCGCCGGCCGCGCTGGCGCTGCAGTTCACCAGCGAGGGCAGCACGCTGTCGGGCTGCGACATCGAGCTGCTGGGCGCCGGCTACCGCTTCTCCCTCGTCAAGAAGAGGTTCGCGGCGGGTGAGTGCCCGCCGGCGGCTCGCGCGCGGCCCCACATGCGCCCGTGCTCATGACACCGCTGCTCTGCCCTAGGGAAATACCTGGCGGATAACTAACAGCGCGGCACGGCACGGCGCCACCGCCCAGCCCGTCCTGCCCGGGGAGCGCCGGCCACGCGCAGCCGCTCTCCCTCCCCGCCGGGAAAAGCAACCACCGTCTTGACCCGTCCCGCAGTATTTACTTCTAGGTGTAACATTGTTAATGGTTTTAACCTGTAATTATCGTATTTGTAAGCGGTTCTCCTCCCGGTACGGCCGTATCGCGGCAGTTAGGCACTCGAGTCGTAGCGTCCCCCCCGTTCATGCCGTGGCTGTGACTCCCGCTGTGGTACCCACACCCCATCGTAGTCCCGTGCGACGGCACCCGCTTGCAGAGCTATGCGCGCTTGGTCTCTCGCTCTCCGCCCCGCGGTGCCCCGCCGTAGCGGGCGCCAGGTTTTCAGGTTTTCGGCCCCATTTCGAGGTTCCTTGGCTTTGCTTYTTCTGCCTTTTTCCATTTTTTCCTTTCTTTCCCTCTCCTCCCTGCTGCTTTGCAAGCCACGCGAGCCCCCTGATCGCAGGGCTCRCGCTGCACCGGGATGCGGGCCGGGTGCATCCCTCTCTGCCCGGCCCCAGTTCTGATTAACCTCAGGGCACACCAGCCTGTGGCACTGGCACTGGGAGCCCAGCGGTCCCATGCCCTGGCGCTGCTCCGTGCAAGGATTTGGGAAGCAGYCGCCGGCTCTCCCGAGCTGAATGCAGCGGTTTGTGGTGCGGGGAGCACCCGGCRCCCGCTCCAGGTTTCGGGGAGGAGGCAGCGTGCAATGTGCAGGGCGAGTACACGGGGCTGTGGGCAGAGCAGCCGAGGAGGCTCTGCTCAGGTGTCCCCATGCTACAAACGGGGTCCCCTCGCTTGCAGTAGCAGCAAGGTCCCCGGGGCAGGCGGTGCCCCGCGGGCCTGGCCCCGCTCCTGGCATCCCAGCCCCGTTTTTATAGTGTAAATACTACCAGAACGCGGATAGCTTGCTGCAGGGCTCGTGTTCGAAGGGGAAAAAGGAAGGATGCAGGTTGGGTGCGTGCATGGAAATGAGTGCACAGAGAGGGGATCCTGCGACGCTCGCTTAGCAGGCAGCGGCATCCTGACGTGCTCCCCTGACAGCAAACCGCGCTTGAAAAAGTGCATTTCGTTGCCAGATTTTTTATTTTATTTTTTATTTATTTCCCCCACTCACCCTCTGGCCAGCCGGCTCTCCCAGGCTATCGCTCTAGAGAAGCTATCTCCTCCTCCCCGCGCCCCCATCCCCGTGTATAAAATGTTTATAAATATTTGTGGATGAAGATACACAAGTCTATTTTTAAGATTTAAGTTGGGTAAGTTAATGGCTGGCCTTTTCTGCCTCAACGTGCAATGAAGTGTATTACCCGGTAGTCTCCGATGGCCCAGGTCGTGCTTAGCCCTGGGGGCCCCTTTGCTGCTCCCCATCCCGTCCGTCCCTCCCCGGAGAGGAGCCGGCGGCCCCGCGCCCGGAGCAGAGCTTGTCCCCGGTCCCCTGAGTGTGTTGTATTGGCTCCTTGAAGATAATCATGAAACARCATATTTTCAATGTCAACTTGCCTTATAGAGTAGGAGACGGATCTGTGGATATAATTTTTTTTGTAAATAATGTTTTTTATAAATGTCTCGCCGCCATTCTCCCCCTCCCTGGCCCTGTCCAAAAAATCTGGAATATGCAATTACTGAACGTGCATCACACGGCACCGGAGGAGCCCCCTCCCAGCGGGGTGCACTGAGCCCCTCTCTAAGAACCACACTCAATACCCCCTTACATTGTAATTTAAATGTGGTTTTCTTTTCTCTCTCTCTCCTTGAAATTAAACAAAAACCTGAAAATACCATTCCCTTTGTGTCCATCTCACTTTCCTGGATGGCAGGTGTTGCATCAGGGGGACCTGTGTGGATTGGGGGGACACATGGGGATTGGGTGGACTCATGGGGATTGGGGGACAGGTAGGGATTGGGGGGACACATGGGGATTGGGAGGACTCATGGGGTTCGGGGGTGATCCATGGGAATGGGGGGGACCCATGGGACTTGAGGGGGACCCATGGGGATGGGGAGGACCCATGGGAATGGGGGGGACCCATGGGGATGGGGGGGACCCACAGAGCTCGCTGGGAGCTGCCAGGTTTGGGCACTTCAGGTGCTTTCCCTTGGAGGGGACACAGGGCACAGTCCCCAGGCCCTGCCCCGCATTTCCGGGGAGCCCGCAGAGACACCCTCACATTTTCAGGAGCCAGAACACACCCGTGCAGTAAATAGCTGTTTTTATTCCCCGGGTCCGGCGGCGCGCGGCTCAGCACAGGGCGCTGATGTCCTTCTCGCTGCAGCCCACGCTGCAGCAGGCCGTGGTGAGCAGCTTGGCGGCCTCGCGGCGCTCCAGCGCGGCCGCTCTGCCGCCCGCGCCCTCCTGCTCGCCGGGCGCGGGGGCCTCCGCCGCCGCGGCGAACGGCGACGCCTCCGCGCTCTCTGCGGCTGGGGAGAGGAGGGAGAGGCCGCTCAGAGCCTGGCGTGTCCTCCCGAGGCGCTTAGCGCCCCGTGCGGCCTGCTCGGCCGGACTCTGCTCTCCTGACATGTTTAGGATCATAAAATCCTCATAGCTGGAAAGACTTTCAAGGTGATCGAGTCCAAGCGTAACCCCATCCCCACCGTGCCTGCTAAACCCTGTGTGCCGGAGCACCTCATCTACACGTTTCATGAGTACTACCAGGGATGGTGACTCCTCCGCTTCTTTGGGCAGCCTGTTCCAATGCCTCAACGCTCTTTCCATGAAGTTTTTCCTAATGTCTAGCCTGAACCTGCCCTGGTTGTCCTACCAGGCAGCAGTTGCTCTCCTGTCTCAAGTGGCAACTTRAGGCCATTCCCTCTTGTCCTATCAGTAGTTACTCAGGAGAAAGACCCCTTGCCTCACTACAACCTCCTCCCAGGTAGCTGTAGGGAGCAGTAAGGTCTCCCCAAGCCTCCTCTTCTCCACACTAAATACCCAGCTCCCTCAGCTGCTCCTCACAGGGTCTGTGCTCCAGCCCCTTCACCAGCTTCGTTGCCCTCCTTTGGATGCGCTGCAGCACCTCAATGTCCTCCTTGCAGTGAGGAACCCCAAACTGAACACAGTATTTGAGTGTGAACCATCCCTTCCCTGGTCCATCTGTGCTGTTCCTGGTGCAAGCCAGGCTGCTGTCGGCCTTCGTGGCCACCTGGGCTCACTGCTGGCTCACGTCCAGCCTGCTGTTGACCAGCACCCCCGGGTCCATCTCCACCACGCAGCTCTGCAGCCGCTCTGCCCCAAGCCTGTAGCRCTGCATGGGGTGGCTGTAACCCAAATGCAGGACCCGGCACTTGGCTATGTTGAACCTCATGCATTTGCCCTCAGCCCATCGACCCAGCCTGCCCAGACCCCTCTGTAAAACCTGCGTTGCCCCAGGCCACGCTCAGTCCAGGCCTCCACTCACCCGGCACATAGGCATAGTCGTCGGCGTGACGCCTCCAGCGGGAACCGCCACACGTGAAGACGATGGCGCGGACGAAGTCGCGGCCGCAGAGCTTCACGGGCGCCCCGTCGCCGTGGGCCTGCTGCGTCACGGCCAGCAGCACGGCGAGAAGAGCCAGGGCCAGCACCTCGGGCTTCATGGTGGCTGCGGGATGCTGTGGGCGGCTGCTGAGGAGGAGGAAGGTGCCGGCACAACGCTGGAGCCCTCTCCTTTATAGGGAAGGTCCGCGTGCTCCGCTGCCCCACGCCCGCTCCAGCAGTGACTTAATGTTTGCCCAAAACCTGATGATAATTTGTCCTAAGTGCTCCGGGACGTGTGCCGAGGGTTTGGTTGGGTTATTAACAATGCCTTAAGACCCTATAACCGCTTTACAGCGGGTAGGCATAGAGGGATAGAGCGCCTTTACGGGGCTAATGTCTCTGCTTGGCGCGAGGGCACAGGCCGTCATTACGTGCACAGAAGGTTATGGATGAAGAGAAAAAAAGCAATAAAATGCCCTAATGGGAGACCTGGGCAATGCAAGGTGAGGAATTCCCCGATGCAGGACGAGGAGCGTGGCAGACCCGCAGCCTGGTTCACACTGCGCGGGGGCAGGCGGGCGGGCGCCCACGTCACAGCCCTCACCCGAGCTCCTTTTCCTCACCGGTGGCACCTGTGGGTAAATAGTCCTGGCCACTGAYGAAAAACACACAGTGTATCCCAGTTCGTAATAATGATTAACACATGATTCACCCTAATGCATGYCTTTTTTTTCCAAAATGCACCGGGATTGGGTCTTATGCCCAGGGCAGACTTGTGTTTTCATTGTAAAGGGCATGCAGCAGGCCAGGGGTGTTAATGCATCGCTAAGTGAGCTTTAACTTTGGCGATGGGTTTAAATGCTGGACATTTATTGTTAGGCTAATGAGGGAGTTTGTGTGTTCTGCACCTGTAAAATAGATGTCCCTGTGCTAAAGCWGCCTAATGCTCCCCAGGGAGGACAGCTACTGTCCTCATGGGTTAGTTGGCAGGCAGAGCTCTTCCCTGCCAGCATTTCTCGTCCCTTCATTCAGTGACCTCTGTGTGGTCAGATTATGGGCTAAAACTGAGATGGGGTTATGACTTAGATCACCTGTGTTGATGCTCCACATTCTCAATGAGCAGCTGGTCTCTGAAAACCCTCAAGGACATCATGGTCTGGCTAGAGACCCACCAGCTGCTTCCACTTCCCTCAATCTTTCCCCAGAACAAGAAGGGAGAGCTGCTACAGCCAGAAGGAGCTGAAAGCCTTTCCTGAAGGCTCCTGCTCCCCACCAGTGGGAATAGTGCTTGGAGCACCCTGACTCCCTGGATCAGGTATTGTTCTCCTGCTTCCTCATCGTTCCCACCTGCAGCTAAGCTCTCCAGCCACTGGGCAAGGACAAGGGATGCAAAGGGGTGCAAAAAGTCAGCTTGGGCTTTCAGGACTGCAAAGTCAATCCTTGTTCCAGGACCGTGTGGTTACCTCMTGTAAGGAGTCAGGAGGGAATAGAGTGAACTTAAGCTGTAGTCTGATGTGTGTTTGAACTCACCAAGGGCTGGAAGTGCTGGGCTGCGCTCCTGCCTGCCCTGCAGCTTGCAGGAGCACCTACGGCACCCAGCCTCAGTTGTGTCCTCCGAGACAAAGAGCTAAGGAAAAGGGCATTCCCTTGTATGATTTTTGCATGGATAAAAACAAGCAAACTACTGATAACAGCCTCAGGCTACATCCTACTTCCTGATGGAACAGCTTAGGCAGCAGGGGATTTCTGCTATTTTGGCCTTTTTGAGTAAGTCAAGGTTAACCCCAGGAGAAAAGGCTTTAATCAACTTTTTTCTACTGCCTTCTTGGTATGGTAGGGAAAGGCCTTTGCACAGTAGCACAGCAGACTGCTCATCTCGTGGGGGGCTTCCAGGGGAAAAGTTGGTGCATTTGAAAGGAATTTCTAACCACTGTGGCTTCAAAGACTAATTTTAATGTCTGTAAAACAATAAATGGTTTATTATAATACTAGAAAAAAACTATTTTTCCCCTAATACATAGCTAAATGCTGGACTTGGGAATTTGCAGACACAAGATGAAATCTGTCTTTCTCGCTGTTTACCATCTGAGAAGTGGTGTCATTCAGCTACTGTTAAGTAGCTAGAGCAGAACCAATTATATCCTGTAGGGCATCAACCTATAAAAGAGGAAACAAGGCTATATTGCAGAGTAATTGCAGTATAAGGAATGAAATGATCCCAAATTCCTATTTACAAATTGATAGCAGATTGTTGAAATAATGAGCATCAAGAAAGCAGSATAAGGTAGTTTGTATTGTGTTAGCTAATTGTTCTTTTTCGACTTTCACTAAAATTGTGGTTACTTCTGTCTGTGTGTGTTGGCCTGTATCTGTCTGGATTGCACTTGTAATATCATACCTAGGGCCCAGACATRCATGTTATTCATAATGGAAATTGGCTTTCGAGTTGATGCATTTATGGTGGCTGTGCTTAAAAGCGACTTCTCTGCGTGATGATGTCCCTTTAGCATTAGTTGCAGTACAGAGCTCATTGTGAGAGGCTTTATACCCCCCTAAGGTGAGAAAGGCCTTTCTGTTACCACAAGAGGCACAAAAGGAACTGATAAAGGATGTTGAAAAYGAGGCTGGAGCTCTGTGGCTCAGGGACTAATCATGCCACAGGCCCAAAGCTTGTGATATTAAGCACTGATATTTTTAGTCCTATTCTGGTGACTTAACCAGAAAATTACCCTCCACTCTCACTGACTTCTGAACTTTCTATGTCCAAAGGACTTGGGSTCTTTTGTGGTAATTTGCAGGAAAAAAAAAATGTTATAAGATTATAAATACCTTATCTTATTTTGGGAGTTTAACAACACATTTAGCAAATGAGACTGTGAACCAGGAATTTCTAAATGCAGCACTGAGAACTGCAAATTGCTAATGCTGAAGTCTCTAAGGAAAAGGTATAGATCAAAATCAGCATCTTCTTCCCCAGACTAAGGTTAGTGTTTTGCACTATCGTGTTCACGGCCGGGAGGGGGCACATCTGTCACTGGTGTGTGTCTCCAGGTGCCAGGTAGGCRGTTACCTGGGTCTGGGCTGAGATGAGGCTCCACCTTCCTGCCCATACCCTGCATGTCCCATCCAARCCCCCTCTGGGAGACCTCTGCATTAGGAAACAGCACGGAGGCTCCTTAAACGCCCCTTTCTAGCAGTGGATTTGAAATCAAGGGCAATCTGAAGCGTGAAGTTCACCTCACCCGTGTCTCCTGCTCCGTGGTGTCCCCGGCAGGGAGGAGCAGAACCAGCCCCATTCTGGGGGCAGTCATGGAGCTGTGTGTAATTGCCCTTAGGACACCCTTCATCACCTGGCTCTGCAGCCAGGTTCCTACAGACCCCCCTTCTGAAGCGTGAAGAGCCAGAGAAAGAGGCAGCCCCCTCAGAAGGAGCCAGCCCTTCTCCTTGGGCCTCCTACCTGGTTGCTCTGGGAAGCACCCAGATTCTGCAGCTCGAACACACTGACTTGTCCTTTGCTGTCTCCTATGAGCAGGCAGTCCGTGTTCTTGGCAAAAAGCACYGTGGTGAACTTCACTTTCGGAGTGGCCAACCTAATGACCAGGGGATCCAAGCTGCAACCAGTGAAACCAAGCATTGATGTCGTTAATGACAATACAGAGCTAAAATTGAGTTTGCTGGGAGTGCTCCCGCATACCAAATCCTAGCTGCGGTGCAGTCCCGAGGAATATCGTAGGTTTTATTTTGTGTCCTAGGTTAGCTAGGAAGTGAGGGTTTTGTTTGTTCTCTAACAAAAATTCCAGCCATTGTTAACCAAGAGACTTTGGTTATCTAAACTCTATCCTATTGCCCAGTATCTGGGATGTTAATATCTTTATAATAGGAATATTTTTTTCTACACCAAGAGTCAGTGGGCCTCCTGCCTCACTGCCTTCCTCATGCTAGCACTGATGCTAAGCAGCACAGACTAGCAGTACAAGGCCACAGATCAAACAACTGCACCTAAGACATGAGAGACTTGCACCTGCTTTACAACAGTGTGAGAATGCAAAAAGTATCTAAACTTCTAATAATCATTTTCTGAGTCCATAATAACTCATTTCTGTTGTTTTTGTTTTTAACTACAGAAGTGGTAGAATCCATGATTACTGAATCATTACAGAATCTCTCTTTCACCCCTTATCAATTCCATAAGGCATCCTGCTCCTTCTCCTTGTCTTAATCTCAACTCTCTGACGAGTACCATCTGATGTTAAAAAATCAGTGTTTCAGAATGCAAGCCTTCTTTCAACAACGAAGCAAGCAGATGACACGGAACTGCCACTGTCTTTCAACAGTGCTTTTTGAACAGGAATGCATAACCTCYGTGCTGTTGTGTCTGCCACCTCAAATTCTTCTTCCAGAAAGAAATTACTTACGTGCTGATACTGAGATCCCAGATTTCTATTCTGCCTTCATTCACTGCTACAAATATAAAGACCGACTTTGGAGACCACACAATGTCATGAACGACAGCAGTGGTGGAGCTGAATGTTAGGATGGGCTTCTGTGACTCCTGGTGCCACAAAATGATGCTCCAGTCCGCAGAGCAGCTTAAAAACATGTCAGTGCTGAACGGATTCCAAGCGATTTTGTACACAGGACCCTTGGCATTGGGGGAAGCGAGAAAGAACGCTGCGTTATTCTAGAGCTACGGCCTTTTCCAACAGTCCTCTACTCCCACAGACTTTTCATGGGAATCCCTGATTGTTTCTGACCTTTAGTAGCGAAGCTAGCACTGTTTTATATACACMCATAGGAAACAAGGGTGCAGCAAATGTGGTAAGAGATCATAAGAATCAAAATATTGAGCTAATTCCCTGTCTTCCYAAGTTGTCAGGAGGGGCTGGCACCTATAGGGCAGCCGCTTGCATGAAGCAAAGACCTSCAAAAAGACATTTTGTTAGAGCTTTAACATCTTCTTTCGGAGGCAAAACTAACGACAGGATCCAGGACAATCAGATTGCTTATGGTTCTCCTTAAATAAGAACAGAACTAAACCTTTAAGTAGACTAAACAGTATTGTACTATACTCTTTTAAGCAAAGTGCAGCATAAGCTTTAATAAATTCTTTTAAAACATTCCTTATAGAAGTAACATAGGAAGTAATTCTGGAAAGCAACCCCATAGGCTGTCATGCTTTATATGATGGGAATGCTTTCCTAATGTGAGAGAAGAGCTTTGGGTCTCTCTTGCTGCAGGTGTTTGTTTAATAAATATAAGGGGGGGAAAAAAAAAATCTGGTCAATTTACTTAAGCCCCTGTTGCTTTTGCTGTTTTTCAACTATGTAGCACTCACCTTATGTCCTCTGTACGTTTCTATAAACTGCTCATTGTAGGAACAAGAGCATTTGTGAATAAGACCCTCTTCTGTTCCAGCAAGATAAAAATTAGTATCCTGAAATAATAATGGGAAAAGTAATGCAGACAGGTGGATTATCCTACATATCATTTACCAAAACATTTATCCAGAGATCTTTAAAGAACTGGGTGAACTTGGGCTGTGAGAGCTCTCTGAAGAGCAGGATGGAGGTGATGGCACACTGTGTGTTTAGCTGCTGCTGTGTGCGCTACACAGATGTCTGTGCAGCGGATCCAGGAGTGCCAAAATGTTCCTAGGTGTTCTCCAGCTGTGCAGAACATGGGTTGTGACTTTTGTCTTGGGACCCTTGCACTTTCTGTGAGCAGCTTCATGAACACAGAGCCCAGGGTTAGGGATTTGTACGTGCCAGTGATGCCCACGGACAAATGCATGAATTTTGTGGACATGGAATGCTCTGCAGAAAAAAATTTCCTCTGGATAAAGAGGAGAAGCTGAGACGTTGGAGTCCCGGATGCAGGAGATGCTGAACACAGATTCTCATAGGTTTGACCTCCATACCCAGTGTCAAAAGCAAATGAGCACTAAAGCAAATGTAACATGGCTGAAATTATGATACGATTTTACACCTACAGGGGTTATTTGCCCGCTTTACTGTGGTTTTGAGATATATATATAATTTTTGATAATGCTGTTACTTCTAATGTTGTCGGAAACAGCCTTCATCTCCTGATGGAGACCCCTGAGCAAGAGGTGTTGAAATTATCTTTGKGGAATGAAAAGCTTCTCCTTTGGCAATAGTGCTTGTTTTGGCCATGATGTACATAATTACAAATTACAAATGCATTACAAATGCACAGYCAGGAATATTATGGTAGGGGATAATATAACAGGTGAAAGTTTCCATTTATTTCTTTGGCCATATAAACCAACCTGCAGTCACAACAGCTAAGAGTAGAGGATGGCACCTTCGGACCATGGTGTTTGCCTTCTCACTCAGACTTCTCCTAGGCACGAGGGCTTCCCACCTTGCTCCCAGTCACAGAGCTCTTTGTGTTTGTGGTGTCTCCAGAGTCCAGGTACCATTAATACAATTTTTCCCCTTTTAACCTTGTTTTCAAGCTTAGCTTTGCTGAAATGGAACTTGGTAGCACACTCTGACATTTGTGTCTCAGTATAAACTGTAAACAGATCCCAACCGTGCCTGTCAGGGACATCTGTGGGGGCTTTTTAGTCTGTTACCCACTTTATTTTTGCCTGACAGTCTTAACTGTTATCTAACATTAGCCTAGAAAAAAGCAGCTGCACTGAGGATCTGACAACTACTGCATAGATTGTTGGGGTAATACTGTAGCCGGGATGGGCTTCCGAGCCTACCTTTGGATGGAAGTCAAAGCACATTCCAGGAGCCTGTCGAGATATCAGAGCCTCGCTTTTCCTTTCTTTCTCACCTGTTGTTTTTTTCTTCTCGCCTACTGTTCGCTTTATTTTCATCAGATCTGTGCAAATGGAAAGAGTTCTCGTCAGGCAGAAGTGGCACATGCCAGCAGAGCACAGCTCCACGCTGCTTCGGATTGCTCAGCAGCTTTTCAACCTTTTACTTAAGATAACCGAGTGTCACCTAAAGTAAAAAGAGGCAATTGCAATTCCAGGCATTTCTCTGTGCAGAAAAGCAGCAGGGAGAGCGCTTACCAGAGCAGCCCAGTCCTTTCCGTATAAACCACTTGGTTATTCGGCCRTCTGCTGAGATGGAGATTAGTATCTCTCCTTTATCATCTCCTGTGGTGCCTCTGTCCTGCTCTACCCACTTCAGCTGCCATACAGGACCTATATGTTTATCTAAAGACTCRCTGGGAAAAGATTAATCGTGATTAAAACATACATTAAGGAAGATAAGACAACCTATTTAAATCATGAATAACTTTTCGCTTTATAATGAAGCTCTATGACAGAAATGTTATTTAGCTTTACTTAAGTATAAAATTTTCCTGGAACAAAAAGCCAACATTTGTTTTGTTGGTTAGTTGGTTAGCTGTTCTTTATTTCATAAAACCTATTTGATATTTAGTTCCAGGGCTCCATTTAATTGGAAATACATAGATCTTGTGAAAGGTCAGAGATACTATGTAATTTATCATGAGTGCCAATACTCAGTCACCAAAGGACAAATAAAATATCCAAAACAGAGAGACTGATATGTGACCAAGGCAGAGGGAGATGGACAAGCACAGCCTCACCTGCTGTCCAGAAGGGCCGCGTTGTTCCGGCTCTGCACGTTATAGATGGCAACCACACCGTTGTACATTCCAACTGCTAAAAGATTAGGACTGACCATGGAAAAATCCACGGCAGTCACACCATGTTCGCAGTGAAAAACACGCTCTGGCCACTGACCAGAAGGAGGAGGGGGGAAAAAAAAWAAAGACATTTTAARTTAGTTTCTTAATTTATCTCAGTCTTTTGAGCCCTGATACTAAATTGACAGGCTATGATGCAAAATCTAAGTCTTGATGACCACAATCTTTGCTTCCAGATAGAAATTAAGTATTCCGTGTTCTAACTGATGCTGTTTATTATTGCTTGCTGCAACTGTCTGAATAGCAGAGGCTATGCAGAAATATGACACTGTAAAATACGTTGGATGGACCCCAGACTCCAAAACTATAAAATTAAGCTCCCCAAGAGTCACCCATGTTAATACAAYGAGACATTTTACWAAAAAAAAAAAATGGAATTTGRAAGATTTGCCCAATTGATGTCAATCTATTTGAAGGTTTCTATATTTCTCTTTAATTTTAGGTTCACGTCTTTCTAATCTATCTTCAGAAATGTGTCTGAAGATAAAATGTAGTCTAATCTTCCTTGGGTAATCTGTAAATTGCTATCCTCATGTAATTGCTCTCCATAACCAAAGACCTGATTCAGCTCTGTTAGAAGACTGAACACATAGAAAGTTACTGCACTGGGCTCTTGAAATGGGAAATGCTAAAGTGTTAGTTAGAAAATAGCTGTATTTCAGTGCACGTGCCAAGTCTTGTTCCTAAGTGCTAGGCACTGAGGACTACAGCGAGACCAGGAAATCACAAGAGTCTCAACTGATGGGACTGGGATGTCCAACCTTTGCATGAGAGCATCCATGGGGAGTGATTTAATGCTGCATTATTTAAGCTAGKCTCATGCCGAACTTTAGCTGCAGGGAATTTGCTAGATACTGCAGGCAGAACAAACTTTCCAGAAATGTATAGCTGGGTCTAGCAAATTAATAACCTTGCTAGTTAGGTATTGCTTTGGAAACAAGAAKAGGGAATTAAATACAGCAGAAATATAGACCAGAGAAAGCAAGCAAACCACTTGCTTGCAGCTTCTGTTACCATGGGGTTCTTCAGTGTCCAACAGCAAACCAAGCCGTTCTTCTGCTCTTTGAAATCAAACTCTCCATAACCAACAGCCAAAAGATCCTAAAAGCACAGGTTCACAGACATAGCTCAGTTCCACTTGAAATTCAGTCTTAGGTTTTAAAAGGCAACTTTTTGCTAACTGACTGAGAGTGTACAAGTTGCATAATAATGCCCATATAATAATGCTCATGCCATATGCAAGCAGAATAATACTAGAGAAGACTAGAATTTATGCCTAGACTAGCAAATACTCCAATAATGCAGCCTCCTGGTCAGTGGAACTGGTGGAACTGGTTCAACATAATGTGCATTTGGAGTCATATTTTGGGGGGGGAGGGGGGAGGAGGGAATTTTTATAAAAATGTCCCTCCACAGAGAGGGTTTTTATGTGCAATATTTAATAGAATATGCAAGGCTCTTTGGGGATTCTTCTCTCACTCACTTGTGAAACTAGCTCTTTAAAGTACATATTGGTTTGCCCCATGTCTCTAGGACTGAAATCTCTAAATGTGACCAACTTTATAGCGTTTGGGATCATGTATACTAACTCTATGAAATGGTCTTTAATGTCTCTTTTTTTTTTTTTTTTTTTTTTTTGCCTTGGGGTAATCTTACTTATTACAATCTTACTGGTTTTATATTTCTCATTCTCTGTTGTTTTTACGTTCCTTCCATGCATTGTTTTTGTGGTGACTGTAAGAGAGCTCTGTTGAAGGACTGAGCTTTACGTTACTCTGAAAGGGGAGCTGTCTGAGTCATCTCGCCTTCACTAAAAGCGAATTTAGCAAACTTGGGCCAGCAGCTGGAAAAACTGCTCTGCAGCTATTATGTATCCTGTCCTTSATGAATGAAGTTTGCTTGGAAAATTACTGTTAGAAAGAGAAGAGTGGTATCTAAACAATCYACTCTGTCAATCGTAATAAAGTTTGATAGCAGGTGTTTAAATTTCAATTCCCAATCCTATGATGAAACAAATTTATTATCTTAATGTTATTGATTAGGTCACCAGCAATGGTAAACTCGAGATATTCTGGACCAGCTAAAACTGCTGTGATAGAGCTGTTGTACAAAGAGCCTAGCACAGTTGCCCAATCTGTAGAATAATGTCACCATATTATTATATGGAAGTACACAATACAGATAGTGGGATGCAAACACAACCTGCCTGACTATAGGGATGAATGTGTCTCTTTGAGATCCCTCCCATCAAAGGATATGAAAATGAGGACTTTGTTAACGCTGACAAGTCTTATATCATTTTATGGACAGCTTAGAAGAAGAGATTCGTTAACTCACTGGGTTTAGTTTGTTCCAAGCCATACTGCTCACACTACGGCCACTAGTTAGATCGCATGTATACGACCACAGCAATTCCAGACTGGGAGGTACAAATTCTTCCGGGGCTTTATTCAGGTTTGACAGGACTGAGGGCGCAATGAAGACATCCTTGTGCTCTTCCTCCTCCTGCTCCTCCTGCTCATGTTCTTCCTTTTCCAGGTCAGCTTCTTCCRTGGCTGCTGCTTTGTTGCCAGTATTTGATGGAGCAACAGGTTCTAAAATGCACAAACACGGCAGAATCTGAGTAACAACCACTTCACTTATCTGGAACAGCCACTCACAACGGCAGAAAAAAAGAACGCTCCTCTTCTACTTTGCAGTAAATATTCTGCAACAAGAAGCTGAAGGGAAGATTCAAGAATTAAGGCAGCTGAACTTTCAAATTTATGATTAAAATGTTGACAGGAACATAGGAGATGACTTGGTAAGGTAAGTGTGCCAGTCCTGCTACAAGATATTTAACAAGTAGATTTAATTACCCAGCAACAGGCCGTTATGAATCTGTGCCACCCTCCCCAACCCAGGAATGTTTCTTTCTAATCCCTTGTATTAAAAAAAGACTTAGTTTAAAGAGGGATTTTTCTCCAGTTTGATGACAACTTTTAAAGATACRCATGTAGATACCAATGCTGTAATACCTTTATTAAGTTATATGATTCTATAACATAAATAGTTCACTATTTAGTAAACCTAATCATACAGCATATTTTAGACTGTTTAGTGCATTTTTTGTTTGTTTTCTCACCCCTTTCTGAGCACTGCTAACAAAATCAGAATGCAAGAACTGCCATACTGCAGCACACAAGTCCATCTAGCTGTATCACACTCCAGCTGTAGCTAGTGTAGAAGACTAGGTAGAATATGATAGACCTATTACCAGCAAAATGGGAACTCTATGCCATGAGAAGGCATGATACAGTAAAGCAGGGTAAAATTACCTCTTCATGGGTAGTTTTCATTCCTACGCTAACTTGGAATTCCTATAAAAGGCTTAGCCTTTCAGTAGTATGTCCTACGGTCTGCAGTTAAGGCACTTTCTGTTAAGCACTGCTTATCTATCAGGCTAAAACTTCTGTTTACCATCAGATAGTCTGATCTTAAAAGCTCTGTGCTCCAATGCAAAGGAAAAAGAAGACTGGAGAGAGAGCAGAAATTATCCGTATCTTCACTGTCAAGGAATAGGTCTGATTAAGATTTTGAGTAARCCTCATTTTGCAATGAAAAGGGGAAATGAGCCGCCATTTATTGAGCTCTCCCACCAGKCTCTGTAGGGACGTCAGTTTAAGTGAGCATAAAACTGCAAAGTTTGTGTCAACATCTGGAAATTCTCCTTTCTTTGCCTAGCTCTTAAATGACTTGTTGTCTGTAAAGACATTCAATGAAGGATGTATCTATGTGATTTCTAGTAACACACAAACCCTTGTGCTGAAAATGCCAACGAGGCTGAAAACAAACCAACCTATAAGGACAGGAAGTTGTCGATAAACTGCAAGTTTGGGCTGAAAAACATTCTCCATTAGAATCCTCTCCATGAAAAATAAGTCCTGCTGAAATTTGTCTGATTTTAGTATAGCCTCTGAATGGTCTTCCCTCTCTTCGTGGATCTTGGCAAGAAGAGCAGTTTCCATTACAGAAGAAGTTGTGCTTTCTGACAATAGAAAATATCAGAAAAAGCAGTTTTAATAGAGTAATACTTTGCATGTAGAAGTCAAGGGAGAAACAAAACGATCTTCTCCCCCTGCAAAAAGCATAGGAGAACGTCCGAGCATCAGCATACCAACAGTACTAAACTACTTCTTGCCTTCATTTTGTTTTCTTTTATTACTCACAATTATAAGAAGTGTGATGAAAGTCTTCTAGAACGTTTTGCAACTAGTTTTGCTTCTCCTGTCCTAAGTAATTGAGCATGACAAACTTTGTCACGACTACTCGCCCATTTTAAGATCATTTACAAAGGCATTTGTATATAAAGGTCTCTGCACAGATACATCCAAGATTTTTTAGGAAACTGCCTCTTTCGAGCAACAGACAAGCAGACAAAATATCTTATTCATGCAGGGTTTTTTTTCCCCGTACAAAATAGTGATATGCACAGTTTGGAAGGATGAAGACCCTGCACAAGCATAACCTAGAAAAATGTTACCTCTGCCATAAATCGAAGATGAGGTCTGATCATGCTCTTTACTTATAAGAGAGATATTGCTGCTCACAATTGTGACTCTTCTACCTTCTGCTTTTGATGTAGGTTCTATTTCCAGTTCATTGAAGGAATCATATAAGTCCCAGGAAGTGACCATGATCCCTAGAAMAGAGTTACACTAATTGACTTTCATTTCTGTATATTATTACCAAAAAAAACTAGAGGTGAGTAAAGACTTGCTTTCGGTACACTAAATAGATTAGCAGAAGGACTTAGGAATTAGCTGAGGATAAAGTGTACAGTGATTTTCAAGTATGAGGAGGGGCAGAGAAGGCCATCACAAACCACACCAGCCTGCTTTAAATTGAAGCCCTAGGAAATGAAAGTGGAAGCTGAGAAAATGCTTTCTTCTGCTTAGATACACAAGAAAAGATTTCCTTAATCTTCTGAGGTCTCACAATCTAGCCATGTGTTATCCAGTTCCCAAATCAATATTTGATAAGCAAAGGAAAGGTAATAGTAAACCTAGCTGCCATGGGTACCCTGCAAGGGAACTATGCAGCAAACAAGAGCCTGTTCTTATTAAATATCTCTTTTTGTGTAGGACTTGGAGAGTTTACCTTTATCTTCTGTGACGATTTTGTCACACTGCACTTCCTTGCTCTTCGGGGCTCCATTAAGGGTTTGCATCATTCTTTCCACAAAGCGCTCGTTACCAACTCTATTTTTGCAAACGTCAACATAAATCTTATTCCGCTCCCTTGAGAAAAAAAAAAATGTGCATGTTGGCTTTCTGAAAAGCATGTTGGCTTTCTGAAAAGCATGTTGGCTTTCTGAAAAGCGTCTGCTTTCAACTTCTGAGTGTATTCAGTCACAACTTGAAGAGGAGAGCATCCTCTCTAGCATCACTTCACTGCTACTTTAGTGTGTGCCTGTTGCCAGATTCTGTTTTAATCTACATATCATCTTGGAGCAGCTCTTCGTGACCTTGTAAGGCTGTAGAGATGGGTCTCAGCAAAATCCCCAATCCAGCTACCCTTGAGTGTTGCTAGAATTTAAATGAGTTCAGAATTGAGTTGCTCTTGTCGCGCAGGAGTGATGCAGTCCGYACAAGGCACAAAAATGAAACGGGCACATTTAGTCCACTCCTCGAATAAGCAGAAATAGTCGGTAGGAATTGCAAAACTTTTTCTCTAATTTTGGGTTCACTATTCTAACAGGAGACTGGGTTGTACCCAGCTTAATCAACGAGCAGGTTGCTGACCCCAGGAGTCACTGTCTCTCCCCATACCGTTTGCAACACRGGCTGCGTACAGCAGCAAAGTGTGATTCACAGGACGCTCTTCCTCTTCCTTTTCCCCAAAATCACACCACACGGTGACTCACAGGCAGGGGGTTGCAGTCCAMACACAAGCTTTGCACGTACACCAAAAGGAAAAGCTCTTTTATCTACATTTTTATCTAATTTAACTACCCAAAAACAGTGCCCTGGCTCCGGCCTTCAAGGCTTACATGGACACAGGACAAGGGATTGGTCTGGAAGGACCTTCCGTGCCCTGTGTCCCAGGCAGCTCCTGGGAGGAGGTCCCAAAAGCTCCGTGATCCAGGTTTCCTGCCTGCCAAAGCTCATGGCAGTCCAGGGAGGTGACTCTAAATCAGGAACACGCCAGATGCAGCTWAGGGGAGGCTGGACTTCTTCAAGAGCAAGGCTACTTGTGGTGCCGTGGGGCTGCTTCCAGCTACAGGGGCAGAGGAGAGCTCAGGGCAAGCCAAGGGACGCCGAGCTCCCTTATTCCTGACTTTGAAATCATTGGCTGTGGAACCGCACCGGAGAATTAACACAGGGTTTTGCAATTACTATTTTCATTAAATCATATTAAATAATTTATGTATACCATATTTCTCTGTCTTCTCTTTTGCCCACTCTCTGGTTGTTCTCATGTCACTGTCCCCCACTTTTGCTGCCTTAATCTACCAGTCAAAAATGGCAAGATGAACTCCTAAGGAAATTAGCCTGACTTACTAAAAAATTGAATCTAACATGGCTTTAAATGAAGGTGAAATGGTAAACTGTGGCAGTCAGACCCAGATCTATGTGTGACCAGATGAGCCTTTTCAGGATTTTGTGATCAAGAGAAACCAGCTGTGCTGAGCATATTGCATGCATGGACACAGCTACAAACATACGTACAGGACTTTTCCTGCATCTTCAGCCTCCACGGACATCACAACGGATGGCATATCGAATATCCAAATGGTTTCCGTTTCCGTCAGGTAAATATCCACTCTCCTATCCAACTCTTCATTTGTCAGTTGCTCTTTCACGTCCTCTCGTCTCACCCGGACATCTGCCAAATGTCAAGAGGTTGACAGGTGAGAACTCTTCTGTTCTCTCTTTAAAAGAAGAAGCAATTCTACCATCTCCTGATGGTATTGTGACCATGAGGAGCCCAAACTGGTGGGGCACCAAGTTCGCTTGCAATGCTGGGCATCTCACACCCTCTGGCTTAGTGTCTCAGGAATCACAGTGCTCCCAAGAACAGTGTGAATCTCTAATTAGACAAGGTATGCTCTTTACCTGTTATGCCGGCACTGGTGTCCCGTCGAGGGCTGGGTTCTGCCACGTCATCTGCGAGGGACTCAGTTGACGCGTACGATCTGGAAATAGTGCTGCTTCCATATGACCTGCCGTAACAGAGAGACGAGCAGAGACCATCCMCGAGAGTCCAGATGTCAGAGCAGAGCACTACAAAATCAGCAGCGTTGTTATCAGGATAAACCCCCTAAGACCTTGCAGTAGCACATGTAGCTATGCTTATGTTGYAGAAGTCATAGAAGGCTTGCAAAGAAAATAACCAAATGTTTGGAAGAAGATTTAACAAGGAAGGTTTCCTCTGACAGTATATCCCGTGGCATTAAATAGCAGATAGGAAAGAACCTGCTGAGCTCTTGGATTCATTCAGTGTGAGGTGGTGGTTGCTGGCCATGTGGTAACACCCTCCCTCACCAGAATTAAGATCCTTGGGTGTTTTGCATGTGCTGGGATGTCTTTGAAATGTATAGGAAACACATTTGAAGGCGGTAGCTTGCTTAAATGGAGGGAAGAGCTGGGATAATTAAAAGTAAAACTTGAAATTATATGCAGTTAGGTTCTTTTAGCAAATTCTGTTTTCCTCTAAAGTGAAGTGAGATTGATTTTAAACACAGAAGTGGCATTTGGAAGGACGTTTTAAAAGATTTTTATTAAAAAATGAAAATAAAATCACTTCATTCTATATGTTTAGTGAAGAGCTCTAAACTCCCAAGATTCCACGCTTGTTTTTCAGGAGCTACCTTCCATCCTTTAAGTAGTTATCTGTGTGTATCTGCTCTGCTTTAGTATCCCTACCTCTGAAACAAACCCTCAGGACAGCAAGCATAACAAAAAAATTGCTCTCAAAGAACAACTTCCTTTCTTCAGAAATCACAATTACATTAACTTTGCCAAAGAAAACAGTAAATAATGCTTTTCCTTATATAACTATTTTCCCCTAGTGCTGATTTTACTAGTCCTTAGTCTCTTTGGCTAAATAAATAGCACATTCTCTCTGAATGTAATCTGAGTGTGTACACACCGTCTGATAAAGTGATGTGGTTCATTACATTTTAAACACAAATAGTTATTTACCTTCTTCCATGCAACTTAATTGAATTCATCAGCCAGAAGATAAAATGTCTCAGGCCTATTGACTCTGTTTATTCCCTGTGTACTGAAGGTTTGGGCATAGCAAGCAGTACACTTGTAACTTAGCAGGTTTAATTCAAAATTTTTATATGYACATTTTTCAGGCATGCATATGCACGCACATAGAGGTAGCTGATATATATTAGTTTAAAAGGAAGAACTGTTACTATATTAACAATATTTCGCTATGTGAATAAAAACAGTCAAGTTTTTAAAAAGGGCTGCCTATAGTTAGTGACTAAAATATTCAAATTGTTTAAAAATAAATTTGTAGTTTTCAGTGAAAACAGACTTTTTATCTCCACAGGATTTTTACATTGCCTGTGTATATAAGCAGATATTAATACATGCCAGTTTTTGAAAAAGAAATGCTTGGGAAAGGCAGAAAATGTCTGGGGAGTCTATTAAAGAGCAACAGTTGCCCCTCCTTAGCTCTACTGTCTTGCTCACACAACCAGTACACAATTTCCCTCTCTTTAACACAGTGTTTTTTCATATATGTGTTCACAGGTCTTTATCGTGACTCTGCGTGCAGGCTTAACCACTGCAAATCCTGCACTCTGGATGTCCATATTTCTGAATTGTGATGTACCCGTTACTGCCTCTAAAAATGGCCCATTCTGGAACACTGTATAGACACATTTTAGGAAGGAGAATGTGAGTAAAATTGGAAATGTCAGAGCAGCATGTGCTGCTTTCTCAGCAAGCAGCTCCGACACAGAATCAGTCCCAAGCACTGACAAATTSCATTTATTCTGTTACCATTCCTCAAATTTTTATTGACAGTTACAGCCTAACAAGTTTCTGTATTCTGGCAAGAGCAACACAGTATAATTACYAGCTGTGTACAACGATTCCAGGTCCCAAGCCCTCTAAAGAGCAGAGGTGCAGCCCTTCCAGGCTAGGGACCCTGGGAGACAGGACTTAGAAGGCAGAGCACGTGCGCTTACCTTGAGAATGGACCTGCTAAACTAATATTCAACCCTGAAGTCTGTTGCATGGAAAAAGAAGACAGGAAACCAGATCCCGTGACCCCCGAGTAATCACTCGCTGCTAAGATTTTGCCTTGCTTGGGTGCCACACTACTGGGATCCGGCTGGAAGAGTGGACGGGGCGTCACATCCTTTCCTTGATCATCAAAAACCTGAAAGAATATTTAAATAATCATGATTACTGTGAAAACAATAATTATCTGAAAACAAGTGGCAATGATGACACATGCAGGATTTTATCTTATTTGGAAAAAAAAGACCCTGATTTGGGCAGGATAGGGAGATAATCAACCCCCCTGGTAGAACAGACCAATGCACCCCACGGACGCGGGCCAAGGCGTTTGCATTCCCACTTTCCCTTGGGAATTCCGCCTTGAGAAGCAGCTGCCACCTTCGCTTGGGACTTCTTTGGCTTTCTCTCTATAGAACCGGCTGCAGAACGCGCTGAGAAATTGCGTTCACCTTGCTGTCTGAGCCACTGCTTGGTTAACCCTGCTGTCCTTTCGGGCTTGCTTATTCCATATGGGCTGCCAGGAGTGGCTTCTTGGCTGCCACTATACCTATCAAAATCACAATACGGCAAAAGCAGCTAGAGAAACAACTGTGCAACGCTTTTACTATCCTGCTGAAAATATCCTTTTATTGTAAGAATGTATTCAGAATGGTCTCCAAGCAGCACTCAGGTTATGTTGTGGGAATCTCCTCTCTCCGTTAGGAAAAGACACACACTTGTTCCAGGCAATGCTTCTCACGTAGATAGTCCTTAAATAATTGGTAGTTCTTCAATTGGGAGGAGAACTGTTATTCTAAAGTGCTTACCTTCAAAACAATGTAGGGAAATATTTTAAAAAGAATATTATACTGTTTGGCTATGCCAGTGCATAACCATGCTGCCTTGTCACCGGTGGAAGGACTTGAGCAGAATGGTACAGGAGAATGCTGTATCTACAAAACTACACCTGCACTGCTAAATAAACAGACAATTCTCTGGTCTCGAGGCCAAGTATCCCGGCTCCATTCACAGTTCCCAGTCCTTGGCTTTGGGTCTTGTCTGGGCTCCATGTGATGCTCTGATGGCCCTAAATTAGAGCTGTTACTTYGTTTGGTTGCGCTATTTTTTCCGCGTTCAGGGCGCCTAACGTGAGGTGAGGGCCGTGCTGCAGCTCCCGGCACACACTGCCTGCAGCCCTGCCTGTCCCGGGGTGCAGTGTGAGGGCACCAAGAGGTCTGCAGGGCTGCAGAGCCTGCGGGGTGGTGCCGCACGATCGCAGCGGCAATGGAAGGCTCACCACGTATGTCCTTGAAGACGTCACCTGTGGGAATGTGTGGGGTGAGTTATGCCCAACTGCTACTATCCTGGAGAATACTCACCGACAAGGGGCTGCAGAGAGCATATTAACACTCTGCAATCCGGTGCATAAGGTCACTCCCTGATTTGTTTAGCAGTAGAAAAGCAACCAGAGCATCCTGCTGCGGTCCCCGTCCCCTTGCAGGATTCACTTCCTTGACTCAGACGCACCGGCTCCCTAAGGAACCACTTAGCACAACTGCAGAAGAGACCTGGGATACCCCATACCCGGTGCAGGGAGCCAGGAACGGCAGCTAGCCAGAGAAAAGCATCCTCCTCCTCATCGGAGCGGCATCCTAAGGCATCTCTCCTGGAGCCTGCTCATCCTGCCGGGAGCTCTTCCCTCCAGCTTCATGTGTCTGGAGCCTCCGGTCGGCACTAAACGTGTCTCTCGGCAGAGCTGCCCTTCCCTCTACGTAACTCTGAGAGGAGTTAAGTTGTGGTCAGCGTTTAAAACACCGGGCGGGTTTGTAAGCTTACGTGGAGCATACGCTCGACTTGTACATTTGAGTTCTGGCAGCCGCTCGAGTCAGGTCTGTGGAACATCCACCCCTTGCACGCAACAAACAGGAAAAACAACACCTAAAGAAAGCTTAAAAAACCAACAGCAAAACCAAACCAAAGCTTGTTAGTCTTGGAGAAGCAACGCGGAGGCAATTAYGCCTATGTTGGGTTTATCCTTGCAGCTTTGACAGCTGGATCATCCTTACCTGCAAACGGACCCGGCTCGGGGACACCTTCTTTCTGCAGAGCTCAGACGTGCCCTCCCTCTCCCCCTGCTTCTTTGCTCACCACGTTTTTGGTGTTTGAAACGGGCCGTGTCCGGCCCTGCCGCTCACCTGCAGGACGTGCTTGGTGCCCACGAGCGACGCCCTGTCCACGGCTCGGCCCTCGCCCGGCAAGCGGCCCCTGCGGCTCGGCGCCCGGTACGAGCAGGTGCTGCTGGCCACGCTGCCGTGGCGCTGGCTGCACAAGCTGGCCACCGAGCCTTTCTTGGCGCCCGCGTCCGCCCCGGCAGCCCTGCTCCTGTTGGAGACGCGCGGTGAGCAGCGGGACGCGGTGGGCAGCGTAAAGGTGCGGCGGGAGAGGGAGAACGTGGGGATATTTCAGAGTGGAATCTGCCTGTGCCTTTCCCAGGGAGAGAGCAYGGTGGGTAAGGATGGGGGAAAAGGGGAAAATGAAACACCAAGGGGGGAAAACAGGGGAAAGAAATGGCATTTTGAGGCGAAACTCTGGGAGCCGAGGGACGGGACGCGCGGCGCCGGCCCCGCGGGCCGGGGGCTC